AAAAGGAAAACTTTAGGATGATGGCCAGTCTGTGCAACTCAAACCACCTTAAAAGGTTGGGTCTGTTTACTTGATGGGAGGGAGAAATAATGAGCATAATAACATCAGTAAGACGTAACACAATATCAAGTACATTGATATTTACTTCAGCAAGAAAACACAACAGCACGATCATCTTCTTCTTGTTAACTGTTCCCAATAACAACATTTCAGCCCAATGCACCTGTAACGCTTCCTGTCATTAGGTGGCAGTATACTTTTACTCAAACGTTTACACTGAAACACAAATGTAAATTGGTGGTAGTGACTGAAACTATGACGAGTATGATAATAAGATAAGGATGCTGAGACTCCACCTGCTAAATGATGGTTTGTTCATAAGAACGTTTTTGCAGAACCGAAAGCATCAAGGAATCATGATTATTCTACTTCTAAGCATCTATTTTAACAATATTCTAGTTTCAGGTAATGCCATGAATGTATTAAATACACTTTAGAACAGTATTATCAACAGCTACCATTATAACTGTATTTAAGCTGCATTTTATAACACATTTTTATCATTTTTCTATTTTGTGTCATTTCTTTGGCTGATGTCTTCTAACAGGTTCTTCTTCAAGTGACCAAGTCGACCAGACTCCTGCTGACATTTACACAAAAGGAGAGGATGTTAAAGTCTACTGCTCACACAGTATTCAAAGCTATGATGAAATCCTCTGGTACAAGCAGTCAAAGAAACAGCTACAATATCTAGGATACATGAATATTGACAAAGGTTATCCAGAAACTGGAGTGAATGTGATGATAGAAGGGAATGCAAATAAAGGCGAGAACTGCACATTAACGATTAAGGATCTCAAACTGAGCAGCAGTGGAGTGTACTTCTGTGCTGCTAGATACCACAGTGCTGCACATCACTGCACCTCAATGCAAAAACCTAATAAACACAATTACACATTTAAGAAGCCACATTTCTTTTTCTTTTTTTTTTTCTTTTTTTTTTGGCCTGTCCCGTTTGGCTCTTTTGCCATCAGAATTGTTGTCTAAAGGCAAAGAAAGATACCCAACGGATGAAAGATACCCAACGGACTTCGTTACTTTCCACCTCTGATGCCAACAATAAATCATATCCTAATGCAAAATGTGGTTTAGAGAATATTTGTGTCATGTCGCCCACAGAAGCACTTAATCCAGCTCTCTTACTTAAACCAGGGTCAGGAAAGAAACATATCTATGTGTTTATCTGCCATAAAGCACGATTTAAAAAAAATGTAAACAAAGTGGCAACATGGTCAGTGTAAGCAGACTAGTTGATTCCTAGAATTATTAAATTACTAATGGCACATTTGTTCATGAAAACAGGCTGCAGTCAGGTGCTCTTGGACCCTCCTCATCCAACTAGGAGCATGCCGGAAAAGCGACGACGTAGCAGGTTTGTTACTGTCCATATTTTTAGGGAGTTTTCTTTACGATGGGAAAATGTTTTATTCTGTTTCTTTAAGTTCCCCAAGAAGTATGATAAATGTTTTTTTCTGATAAATTTGTTAATACTTTTAGCTAAATTTTTTTATCCATAAATGTACGTTTACTACTAAAACACCATATTTCTGTCATTATTTTAAGGATGTGGAAATGTACATACAATCAATATCAGACTCCACCAACAAAACGGCTCTCAAAACAAATTTATGTATGTGAATTTTTGCGTGTATTCTTATAATTGTTACCTTTTTCTTTTACCCCTGGCTTTGTGTGTTCATGTTCTGTTGTTTTGTATACTTCATCTGTTCGTATGTTGTATACTAATTGTTTGTTAAATAAAGTTTATAAAAATATAAATTAAAATAAAAAAAAAAGCGACGACGTTGCTTCCGTTTCATGTGTCCGTCCTTTGAAAAAGTCCGGGTACAGCAGCTTCTAGATCGCGTTAATGGCGCCGCCTGTTGGTATCACTGACTGTAGAAAACACATAACAGTGATTTGTAAAGTCATCGGTTGATATTCAATCATTGCCAAAATACAGTCACTGTTACCAGCAGGCAGACTGTCTGTGACAGTTTAAAGAGCTATTTGCATAAATCACAAAACCCCAAAAGCCTAAAAAAGAAATGTAATAAATGTTAATAAAAACATTAAAATACTATTTTGAGTCCTGTTTCTATTACACAAGTGCATAATCACGAATGAACTTCAATTGTTTATTTAAAATGATACTAAAATATGTATTTTAATGAAAGTTCACACCAACTCAAAGTCAACAAAATAAATAAATAAAACAGCAAATTTGGCTTTTATGCCAAAAATAGAGATTTTAACTCATTAATATTACGGTTTTAAAAGTCTTTATATTTATATATATATATAGATAGATAGATATATATCCACCAAAAGACTGAACGCTTGCTACTATTAAACGGACTCATAGTCACATGACCACTGGTGCAGCTGTTGTGTGAGATGTGGTGCCACGCTATTGGCTACTGCACTTTTATTATTATTATTGGCTACTAAAGAATCAGTGCCCCACTTTACCTTCCTTCTTTTGCTTTTTTTTTCCAAGTAGCTTATTTTGTTAATAGAAAATGTGTGTGTGTGTGTGTGAGAGAGAACTTATTATTAATTGTTTTTATGAAGCTGAGCTCTCATAGGCAAACTAGTCTCCAGGCTCCGTAACAGACATTCAGAGCTCTTTTTTTGGATTTTGCATGCCTTTAGCTCCATTGTCTGTCAGGATGAATTAGCACTACATACTACTGAGTCTTCCATTTTGGGGTTTTCTAGTTTCAATTAGAATAGCGCAAACAAAATTTGCATGTTTGCAACAGGATGCTAGTAAGACTTTCAGAAAGCCTGCAGAACTACTGCTAAAGACCATAAAAAACAATTGCAAGTCTGCTTGAAATTAAAATAGAAATAACTGGGGGGTAGCTAAAAAATATATGCACAGTCCTTTTATTTCAAGTAGTAAAAAAAAATAAAGAAATCAAAACAAGAAAAGTACTAACAAACATTTTATTACAGAATTCAAATTCTTACAGTGAAAAAAAATTATCCTAGTCTGACCCGACTCCCACTTCACACTAAATTATTTTCTGAACAAAACCCCCCAAATAACAAAAACAGTGTGCAGATGTGAATAAACCCGCTTACAGAAAATTAAAATGAAATGAGATGAAGAGACGGCACAGCACAGTCAGGATACAGGACGTAGCTGCTCCTGTCAACCCTCACTCTAGAGTTTAGCTGGTACAAACAGCCAGTTCTTGCATCTTCTCAATTTCAATTCAATGAATCAGAGCAAAAAAAGCAAAGCTGGTAGAAGGAAAACAGGAGCTTTGCTGACTCTTCTTTCACATTTGCCTTTTAATCTTCATCAGGTGTCACTTGGTCTCCACTTAATGCCGCAGCATCTCCTGGAACCTGGAAAAATAAAGTTAAAGAGCATATTGTTATAGTCGGGGTAAAAAAACAAAACAAAACCCAGTCAGTGTGTGTCCAAGGACATCATCCCCTAAGCAAATCCCGAAGATTTTTCATATGTATAAGTTACATTAGTTATATAGCTCTGTGTTTTTGCTTTAAGGATATTAATGCTTACAAACGTCTAAAAATGCAGAAGATACCCCGCCGTCAGGCTGTTTCTTTTACCAAAATCTCTGCACGTTGTTTTCTAGCTGGATCTGAACTTATGAAAATGTTATCTGGGCCACTTTTAGGTGAATGACCACTGAAAGCAGCAATCCTTTCTGCAGACTTTGTTTGCCCCTCAGGCTGGTGTGTTAACATCTTACCGTTCTCAAAGCTGTCCTTCTTCTTCGTCAGAGCTCGGATCTCCTCTCGATGCTCAGCAGCTCCACTTCGAAGATCAGTGTCGCTCCACCGGGGATCTTTGGAGGGGCTCCCCGGTCTCCGTAACCCAGCTCGGCGGGGATGACCAGCTTCCTCTTCTCGCCCTCGCACATGCCCAGCAGGCCCTGGTCCCAGCCTTTGATCACCTGGCCGGTGCCCAGGGTGAAGGTGAAAGGCCTGTCGCGGGGAATGCTACTGTCAAATTCGGTGCCGTCCTCCAGCTTTCCGGTGTAGTGCATATTCAGCACGTCTCCTTTGCGGGATTTGATGGGGCAGTTGTCCACTCGCTTCTTGATGCCGATCTGCAGCTTCTTCTTCTCGGCTCCACTCACCGCCGCCGGGCTCAGGGAGAGCACCGCCACCGCGAACAGCACGTACACCCGCATGGCTGCAGTACCGACTCTGACGAGAGTGAAGCTAAAAGACCAGCGAGCAAAAAATGGGGGGGAAGCAAAATGAGAAACGAGCAGGAAATCTGCTCTTGAAAGCGGATATACGTAAGATACGACCGGATGTCGTTTACCGGGTGGTGTTACTACAAAACCCGTCCGGAACAATTACCTGAAGTTGGATTCACATTGGTTGATTCTGGTCGGTACCGTGTGGGACTAAGTTCCCTTTTTCTTGTCACTTATACATAATATATATAAATATGTCTTTTTGTTTTCTAAAGACGGTAGTTTACTGTTATTGACAGTTTTGTTGTTGTTCTTGTTTTTTTAAAGCAGAAATGTAAAGAAAATAGTCTAAGGACTAAGGCTGTAATTCTCCAATTTGAATGTGTCATTCAGCCTTGTAAATCCTAGCAACCGTCTTAAATCAAGTTACATCCTTTAAATTTGTGAAATATTTACTTTACTTGTTATGCCTTAGAAATGTAATATTATGCGTCTGGAATGTCTTGTATGTTTTGACGCTGAATATTTTTTTCTATTAAAAATTATTTATTACAAATTAAAGTAAAAGTGTGTCTTAAATCTTAAAAATAGGATATTAAAGTAAACTGCGTATTTATTTTGTTGTGGTATGAATGGCCGTATTTACCCTGGAAGACAGCAGAGGAAACCCTGAGCCAAGTCTCCCACATTAACAGTCAAAAACCAAGTTCACATGTGGCAAACTGTTTAAAACTGCTTTCAGTTCTGTGAAGTGCAATTCGTTTAATTTTAATGGAAACATTTTAAATCTAAGAAAACAGTCGTTTGATGATCCTGTTTCTTTAAGAAACACTGAACGACGAGCTCGAAACCGACTTTAGCCTCATCCCTCCCACAGTCTGCGTTACGTCACCCACTGTCACTCAGCGGTCACCTGCTTCAGCTGAGGTACGTACGTCTAGTTCTCTCTGTGTACTTAAACTTGCATCTCCACGTACTCGACACTTCGAGGGTCAATAATGGGTTTGTATGTGGGCTTTACAGGGCTGAAACCCACGGGGAGAACACGGAGAAGCTAACAGCCAGTTGCCACAATGCTCGCTCGCCTGTTAGCGTCGCTCGTCAACAACCTTCACGTCGTTGAGAAGTTGGCGGAGTCTCGACCGATTCGCAGGGCGGCTCAGATCACAGCTTACGCTATCACCAAAGCTCAGATAGCCGGACGGGACGCCTCGGACCGGGCCTTGCGCTCCCAGACGCTACGACAGGTCCGGGACGAGGCCAGCAAAGTGCCCGGGGATCTGGGAGAGATCAGTGGCCGCCTCAAGAGAGTCAGAGACACGTTTGTGAATGAGGTGAAGTCAGGCTGGAAGGACGGATCCAGGCAGGTGAAGAAGTGAAGAAGACAAGCTGGTTGTGGGATGTGACCGAAACGCTGCTGCTTGAACTAAATAGAACTATTGTGTGAGCACATTGTGTCAGCATGGGACAGAGACGGCGTGCTGGTGAACCATCACCATCAGGGTGCGCTCAGGTGGTCGGTAATGTCTGTACTTGCAATCTGCAAGGTCAGTTTATAACAAACTGGTTAGAAAAATCAATGTATTTTTAAACTTCTGAAAACACGTGGGAGCTTGAAGTGTGCTCTTTACCTCCCACAAACTTCTGATGGTGACGTGGACGCTGTGTTTAAGTAAAACATTTTGTTTAGAAGATTGGCGTCTGATGAGGTCTTCTTGACATTCATCCCTTGTAGCGAACTGTGCAATCATTTGTCTGTAACACATCATCCTGTCAAAGAGCCTTTTCTGGCTCTGTGTTTCTAGAGTAAAAAAGTATTCATATTAAGTGAGATGTGCTGTGTAAAAAGACCTTTTAGATGTGACTCAATCAATAAATATTATAATTCAAAACTGCTGATAGTCTGCACTTAAATCCCATCTTGATTGTATTAAACTGCTGTAGTGGTATACAGAGACGCAATTACAAATATGTGCAATTGCCCAGAAACTTTATACCTCACAATCAATGGGTGAGTTTTACAGTAGGAATCCGGTCATATCAGGGAAAGCACACTTGCTACCAAATGAAAATAACTTGTTAGTAAAGGAACACTTTTTAATTGGTGTACAGCATTAGTTGATTAAACTTCAGGGATATTGATTTGGTCAGTTTAGTAGTAGAAGGGTTTTAGTTTCAGCTACCTTGGTGTCAATGAAATAGTCTTATTGCTGCCCCTCTAATTATCCCCAAAAGAGTAGGAATTTTACAGGTGGAGGCCACTGACATTGTTTCCCCTTTTGTTTTATTTTTTTTTTCTTTCACTAGTTTTACATTTAGCTACTACTGGTAGCATGAGGCATAAGTTGTCCATTGGATTGAGATTTGATGACTGTGGAGCTCATTTGAGTATAGTGACCTCACCATCACGTTCAACAAACCAGTTTGAGGTGATCTGATCTTTGTGACATGGTCTTTGATCCTGCTGGAAGCAGCCATCAGAAGATGCAGTCAGTAACAATTCCCAGGTAGGCTGTGGCATTTAAGCAATGGTCAGTTTGTCCTAAAGGGCCCAAAGTGTAAAAAGACCCCCCCCCACACACACACACACACACACACACACAAAACTCCCAATATCGTTCCACCACCATCACCCTGAACCTTTGATATAAGGGCAGGATGGATCCATAATTTCATATTGTTTATACCAAATTTGGACCCTGTCGTCTGAATGTCACAGCAGATTTTTGGACTCATCAGACCAGGCATTGTTTTCTAATTGATTATTGGGTTTGTTTGGTTTTTGGGGGGGGGGTTTGTCCTGATCTCAGTGGACAGGAGGGGCACCCAATTTGGTTTTCTGCTGGCATAGCCCACCTGCTTCAAAGTTTGATGTGTAATCTGTTTAGAGATGCTCTGCTGCAAATGTTGGTTGTAAAAAGTAGTTATTTTCTTTCTGCTCCCTTCCATCAGCCTGAAGAATTATTGTCCCCTGAATAATAAAAATATTTTTACCCAGAGAACTGCTGCCAACTGGATACTTTTAGATCATTCTCTCTATATTCTAGAAATAGTTGTGTGGAAAACTCTCAGCAGATCAGCAGCCTCTAAAGACTCAGACCAGCCCGTCTGGCACCAAAAAGTCACTTAAATCAACTTTCTTCCCAAATCTGATGCTCAGTTTAAACCTGAACAGGTCACCTCCCTCATGTTTAATTGCACTGAGTTACGGTGATGTAATTAGTCGGTTAGATATTTGTGTTGAACAGTTGTGCCTAATAAAGTGGCCACAAAAAAGATCCTCATGGAGAGACAATTTGAAACACCTACAGAAAAGTGGAAAAAAAAAAAACCACTGGACAATTTTAAAGAAGGCTCTACAGAGTGCATTTTGCAGTAAAGAGCTTTATTTCATTAGAAAGAGCTTTATTTAGAAATACTTGTGCAGACACACTGGCCTGGCAACTAAATATTAGTCACATGTTCCATCATTTCACATAGAAATACATGTCTTATCCACAGAAAGAGAAGGCATTGGTTTCTGACAACATGAGTCAGTACATATACACTGATATGGCACCTGAACTTCATATAAAAATAAATCTCTTAACATAGGAAAAATTCACATCCAATCAGCATGTTAACAACAGGAAATAGCATCAAGCAGCAGCAGCAGCATCCAACAGGTACAGTGAATCTGAGCAAAAACAGTCATTGTTAAAGAGAGAGTAAGTGAGCTGTTTGGGTTGGAAGACATGCGATCACACTCTGGAATGATTAAAGGAAAATCAAACCCCTTCCTAACCAGACTAGACCTACAAAAATTGAAATGAAACAATTTTTTCAAGGTTTTAAAGTCCAAATGACCCAAACAAGTCTTGCACCAACACTCCTGTCACTTCAACCATCCAGAAAAACAAATTCGCATTCACCCTCCGACACAAACCACAGGGTGTCTCCTTCATGTTCTCCCCAAAGTTGTTGAAACCTGACAGGTTGTGCTGGTTTTATTCACTCCATCTGTGAAAAAACGGATAAACTGCAAAATGTGCAGAAAATGGCTGGATGGTGGAACATGTATTGTCTGCTGACACTGCTGTTCCTGATCAAATGCATCAGATTACAATCAATAATAAGAAAAAAACAGATTTCACTGCACTGGTGCAGGCTTGATCGCATCATTTAAGGACTTAAAATTTAAACATTTGAGGAGTATACATGAAGCAGACAGTCTACGGACGCACATGGAGTTGCTTGTCATTACACATTCGCAGCACAGCTCTGTGTGCAGGTCACACTAGTCCATTTTCACTGATATGGTATTAGCTTACAGTAGAAACAGCCTGGAGCAAGAAAAAGGCTGTGCTCATATGCACTATTTACAGTGCAAGTGGCAGCAAAGCAGCAATCTGACTTGTGGACTCACAGGAAACCTTGGGAAACTAAAAAGCCGGTGTGAATCCAGTTATAACTGGCTAGGTCAGGACAGTTTTAAATCTTTAACAGCTCACACGTGAGCTTAAAAGTCAGACTGCGCTTTCTTTGCAAAGCCAGATTTGGAGAGACGGTGCTGCATTACCCACTTACAGTAACAGATGGCAGCACATGCACTGATATGGCAGCTCACCTTTAGTAAACAAAGCGGCAGCAGCACGTTCCCCTATTTGGCTGACAGTCGACTGGTAGCTTACTCATACCTCTGCCACAAAAACAGGAAGCGTTGTGCATCAGCACTACTACATCTCACATCCGAAGGCAGCTCCGACATGCCGTCCTCTCGTGTGTTTAATTAACATACAATCAGGCAAATACAGAAAGGCAAAGGGCTCCCAGGGCAGTGAATGCATTTATGGTGGCGAGGGTTGAGTGGACAGCAATCAGAAGAATTAAAGCCTGGACATTAATGTGGTGAAAAGAGGTGAATGAAAAAAAAAGGAAAAGAAGTGACAGTTGTGTCTCAGAAAGGAGAGCATACAGAAAAACGAAAAAGGGGAAAGGAGTGGGGAAAAGAGTAGCCGTGTAGGCCTGTCATGCTGTCGTTACATCCAGTAGTTGGTCAGCATGAAGCTGAACAAGGCAGTTGGCAGCAGCCACACAGAGGACGCCACTGGAAAAGGAGAGAGATCAAGAAATATTAGCGAGGCTGTAC